GGAAAATGTTGAAATCTGTGATCGCTGATATGGATGCTTTGGAACGATTCACGTTTGCTCATAAAGTAGCTTCTAGCGTTCATTGTTTCAATGATCTCTACATTGTTGAACAATGTCCACGGGAACTGCCGTTACCTTGTTATTTCCTTAACAAGTGTTTATATTTATATTTGTTTCTTCCTCAAGTTCGTTGATTTTTCATTATGTTAAATTGTGAAAGGTGGAGATATTTATGATGAATGTCGTTCACTCTGTGTTCAGTAGATTGGTATCCCGGAAAGGTCCGTGTGTATGTGCTCAATTTCCTTTAAGGTATCCAGTTTTCATGATGAGATATGAGATTCAGTCTTGAAACTTCAGGAGATGACACTTCTGGAAAATACATAGAAATGTGGCAACTATTCCCATTTTACCAATGTACTTCATCTTCTTGACTCGTTAAAGTTTGTAAACCTTGTGCCTTTAACAATTCGTTTAAACTACTTTACAGACAAACAAGCAAAGGTAAGTTTGCTCGTAAGCTGTGGGTTGCATTGTAGCAAGTGGAACGGACGTCTTGAATACATGATACTTGCATGTAGTTAAAGGTCGAGGTACAATTGCTCAACCAATTAATGCAACTTGTGAGGTACAGCAATTATTAGGAAATGATCGCCACCTTGTTCTTCGGATACAATTCGATCCCTCTAAAATGAGGCATGGAAGAAAGCCACTATGAAGAAGTTTCGGGGGTCACGAAGGAAGCTTCTAGCTCATGTTGGCCGTGTTGAGAACAGGAATTGAACTCTAAGTGCCTGAAACATCCAATAGTGATGGAAAATTTTATGTTGGGAGCGACTGCAAGGCATGTGTAGTAATTCTTGAACTAGTGAAAGCGTTTTAAGTGGACATATAAGGATTTCACTTGGTTTAATTTAACATGTCAAGGGACTTACTTAATATGTGAATTAGCAAGTGGGATCTTTATATGTTCACGCGGAGCTTTTCTATTGATTCTAGATTAACTACTAGGTATGTTTAGTAGTTACTCCTGATTGAAATAAAACTTCTACAATAGTGATACAGATGAAATGCATGGTAAAAAGTTTAATTTGGGCAGCAAATCAAGTTGGATCAGGAAAAAAAAAATCATATTTGAACCAGGAGCAAAAATAGCAATAGGAAGCTCGGCGAACTGTAGTCTATTTCATGCTAACTTTTAGATGAACTCAAATCTTTGGGAAATCAGTACTTTCACAAAGAATAGTGACATCTTTAACCAAACTAATCAGTACATATTATTAGCCGCCAAACAAATTTGGAGCTCGCGAAGACAGAAGCAATTTGCAGACAAATCACAGTTTAACAAGTCAGAAAGAGTTGTATTCGGAGCTTCTCAGGCACATATTGCAGAGAGGCATCTGAAGGACATGGTTATTTCACTCTGAGGTGCCATAGGAATAAATGCATTTTGATAAAAGCTGGCTCGTCATTACCCCTAGCTATGTCATTTAATGTTATACCAAAAATTCCCTCTGAAGTTAGTTTTCAAAGTACTCAAATTCCATCTTTTTCTTTATCAACTATCCACATCCAGAGCTGCAAACAAGTCCAGTCAAGTTTCGATTCAATTTTACCAAGTTCAAGTTCGAGTTTGACGTCTCTCAATGTAAAATTCGAACTCAAGTTTGACCTCAGATTCGAATTAAGTTAAGCCCGAATTCAAGCTTACTCGAGTTTAAAAAAATAAAAAATAATTACTCTCTCCATCCCATAAATTTGTCATATTTGTCACTTTTTCTTGTCCCAAATTAATTATTATCTTACAAAAGTCAATCGATTTTGTTCAATGAAATTTTATCTTTACCTTTATGTGACCCACCACTTATTCCTCAGAATTATTAATACATCAAATAAAAGATGTCCCGCTACTAAGGTATAAAAAGAAAGTAAAACTGCTCTTTCCTATTAATATTACTATACATAAATTGCACATTCTCCCAAAAATGACAAATTTTATGGGACGGAGGGAGTATTTTGTTTTCAAAAATGAATAAAATAGTAATTTTTTTAAAAATTAATAAAATAGTAAGATATATATGTTATTTTACTTAATAAAAATAAAAATAATATATATATATTTGCATATATGTATAATCAAGTGGCTTGCAAGCTCGAACTCAAGTTAGATGTTGGTCGAGTTCGAGTCGAATTTTGACCGAGCTGGCTCACGAGCGCTCACGAGCGCTCATAAGTGATTTGATACATTTGCAATCCAACTCATATCCTCTTTTTTCTTCTTTAACATGATTTTAAAAAGTAATAACTTCCTAAATAATGAAAAAGAGTAGTTTTATAACTTTTTTTAAAAAAATACATGCTCTGACATGATTCCACATACAATAATTTATTGTAAAAATAATTAATTTTATAATTTTTTATAAAATAAACACACATAGGGTGTGTCAAAAGCACTAGCGCATATAAAGAGAGTCGGGTGAAAAAAAGATTGAAACATTAAGGAGTAGATTTAAATTTACTCATTTCTTCCCAACATCTCACAAGGTTTAGAGTGGCCATAGAGCGCAGAGTTTACCAACTTCTCAAGATTTAGAGTGGCCATAGTTTTATAGCGTCCTCAAGATTTGGAGTGGCCATAGAACTTAGCAAAATCTCACAAGGCCGAATTTTTATGGCATTTTCGTTAGAATTAATTTTTTATACACTGACAGTGTAGTGATCTTTTTATACTAACTATTTTGATTATATGCTACATAATGATTTGAATCAAATTTAAACTCATGTTATGCGATATGATTTAAATCTGATGGTGTAAAATATAATATACACTAACGGTGTATAAAAAAGTTATTCTTTTTTATTAATAATGTGGCAAAATTTATATGTCCAAAAAAAAAAGCAATAACAACCTATAGACAACTTTTGAAATTCAATGACAAAGACATGTAATAGTGGGCAAAAGTTCGTTAATGTGCCGAATACAATTCATAAAAAAGGAAAAATGCCCCAAAAAAAATTCCATTTACTGCTTTTAATTAGTTATAGCTTTGAGTTTTTGGCTCTTACCATCAACACTACTTTGCAGTTTGCATTAGGGATACAAACGAATCGAATAGCTTGTGAGCTGATCGATCAAACAATTGACTTGACTCGGCATTGACCGAGTTTGAGTCAATCTTGAGCAATTCATTTAGTCAAACAAGTCGAGTATGGATCGTTTTTAGTTAAGTTTGATAGCTTGTCAAGCCTTATCGAGCAACACGTGTTATATATGTAAAAAATATATTTATAATATATGTATATGTGTGTATATATACATATATATATATATATATATATATATATATATATATATATATAGTAAATTACATATATAAGGACTAAGTTTTTGTAAATTTTCAAAATACCTCATTTTCAAATCGAGCTCGATCAGGCTGGAGGTTGACACTCGAGCATATCAGAAATCTTAACGAATCAAATTGAATATGTAGAATTTCAAACTCGATTGAGTCGAACTCGATCTCAAACAGTGCTAAATCAAGTTGAGTTCAAACTCGAACATAGTATTACTCGGAATCGACTCAACTCGTTTGCACCGTCACTTTTGATTATGAAAAGCAAAACTTGGAATCACTTTTCCTTTGGAAAAATCGTTCAAAATGTTCCTTACATTTTGCAAAATAATTTTTTTCATCCCTCACTTTTAAAAGTGTAATTTTACATCTTTTACAAATTCATGTTGATCAAATTTGGTACCTACCTAGGTTTCCAATTAGTTTTTTGTCGGAATCCACCACGCGACTTGCATGTGATCATTTTTTGAAAAGTAAAATTGTCAAATCAAAATTTACATATTTCGATTCATAGTCCTTCACATTTCACAAAATAAATTTTTTGATCCCTCATATTTTTCAAAATGAAAATTTTTAACCGTAATTGATCATATGTACGAATAGCTTTTTTTCTTTAAACCCATATATATACCTATTTGATTTTATCTGAACAGTATGAATATCATGTAATATATTTCTATCTAATTTCACCTAAATAAGCTAATCGTAATTGTACACGTAACAATTTTATTTTAAACCCATATATATATATATATATATCTATATGATTTCACCATATGAACCTATTCAATATTTGTGACATTTCTCTTTTGATAATAATTTATTTATTGAATTGTATAATAATGACATCTAATTAATGGGTCTTAACTAGAATTTTATAATCATGCTAATAAATTGTAATTTAAATTTGAAATTTCTACTCACCACTTTTAAGACAAACAGTTGAATTACTTGTCTTGTAATTGTTTTAAAATTTGAAAGTGCCAATCACTTACTTCTTTGTATCATACTTTTCCGTTGTTTATTTTTTTCTGTCCAAATTTAATTCGATATAAATACTTGATAATGTTTAGAATTAAATGTCTTCTTTGTTTTCAATTTTTAAGTAAAAGGAAATGAATAAGAGTGAAAAATTAATAATTTTTTTAAACACATGTATATATCTATTTGATTTCACTTGAGTAGTACAAATAACATGTAATATATCTCTATTTGATTTAGTCAGATGTAATCAAATAGAGATATATTACATGTTTTTGTACTGTTCAGATGAAATCAAATAGATATTTAAAAAAACTATTCACACATATGATTAATGAGGGATGAAAAAATCTATTTTGAAAAATATGAATGATGAAAAAATTCATTTTGTGAAATGTGAGGTACCATAAATTAAATTATATAAAATTTGATTTCACAATTTGGTTCTTAAAAATGATCACGTGCAAGGCACGTAATAGATTCCGACTAAAAATTAGTCAAAAATCTAGATGGGGATAAAATTTGATCAATATGAATTTATAAGAGGTGTAAAATTATACTTTTAAAAGTGATGGATAAAAAAAATTATTTTGTAAAATGCAAGAGATATTCTGAACGATTTTCCTTTTCCCTTTTATAAAATCCTTCGGCTTATCCTTGTCTTCTGTTGAGCGTGAGCGCGCGCTTTTCTGTAATAGTGGCCTATCTTCTCCTCTTCTCCTCGTCCCCTTTCCCTCCACGTTTATTTTGCTGTTTGACGCCAAATCTTTCTTTACTCATATCGTCGCTTTCCTAAATATTTCATCTTCTCATTCAAACCCTTTTCTTGAAACCATTGACTTTCCGTATATTCGTCTCAATTTTCATCTTCACAATGGAAGAAGCCAATGGTAAGCCACAGAATAGGCAATGAGATAAATTTCTTGGATAAATTGGTGGAATTTCTGATGTTTTCGGGATTATGTTTGATATGTTGTTTGGAGTTTGATGTAGCGAATGAACTGATGATTTAGTTGGTTCTATGAATATTAATGATACTTCTGTTTGTCGGTGCCATAATTGTCTGTAAGAATCTTGGATCTTATGTGCGAATTCCAGCACTGAAAACAGTCTACTGGGGTCACTTCATTTTTTTTAAGTTGGTCGTTTTTCTATCATGGTTTACTAAGAGACTGTAGAAAACTCAACACGATCATTGGCTTTCACTATCTTGTATCTGCTCTGTGATTTTTCTGAATTTCTGATTGCTACCTGCAGTTTTCGAATTCTGCTCTAGTTTGTTACCTGAATAGCTTTAGTTTGTTCTTTAGTTTATTCACATTCAGTTGTTGAGGCAAAGGGTGAAACTATTTCTGTTGCTTCTGCATTGGCTGGCAATCAGGAAGGTAATAATATTGGTTCGTTTACTTTGATAATGTCCAAAATCAAGTCAGTCTTTTTTAGTACCAAAAGGTGCTTTTGGTAAAATCTGTAGTTTAAGGCCATTGGAATATGGTAAAGAAACAGTTAAAAAAGGTCCTTTTTTCTCTTTTCTATTTTTTCCTCTTGTATTAGATATATCTCGTAATGTCATTTTGAACCATTCAAGCTGTATCAGTCCCTCTTCGATTTTTCAGCCGTAATCCTGAATTAGTGCTTCTGGTCCATTTTTGCTATTCTCTATTGTATCAGTTAATAGTGTGTCCGCTGCTTCAGCTTGAGCATTGTTTGGATAGGATTCAGGCCTTTACTTGCAAACTCCCCCTTTGGAATTTGTATCCAACATTTCACCAACCGGCTATTCGATAGGGTCAGTTCTGAACCAATTTTAATTTTGCATCAGTTATTTCTTCTTCTTTGTTGAAGTTTTGATATTGAACATTCATGTACATTTTATGTATAAACAAATGAGACATTGGTTGTACATTGCTTATCCAAATTTCTCAGAAAATTGAAATAAATATGTTTGAACTAGTTCTCAATATTGATGTAAGAAGATTTAACTAAAACATCATCATCCATCCAAAAGCTTTCAGAAGCATTCAACATTTAAGTTGCTTGAAATCTGTAATATGTAGCTTGAGTTTTCTATGCTGACATAACTTAGTGATTTGGATATCTTTGGAAATTTTGTCCAGATATGTGTTCAGAAACTGATCTGGATGTGTATGTTCAAGTGTTTTCTAGTTAAAGATAAGTCTGAGCATCTTCTGACCAACATTTAAGTTCCTTGAAGGGAAAAGAAAACATAGAATAGCATTAATCCTGGATTCTTAATTTGATTACAAGGTGAATCATTTAATAGGTTGACCCAGGCTGTGGAAGTGAAAACTGAACCTTACCTGGTCTTCAGTTTGCAATTTACATGTTCTTATGGATAATGCAACTCTAGTGAAGTTCAACCCTAATTTTGACAAACCTGTAGGACTAGTTCTGAGTTGATTCCAGACTGCCTCCTGACTCCTATTTCTCCTGTTCTTGTTGAGGCACCTCTGATAACAAACTACAGATTTAATTGAAATCGTTATCTTTTCCATGTACATTTATTGGTGAAATGGTCAAATTCCATTCGCATCTACTAAGGTAGCTTAGATGTTGATTTTGAAACGTGACTATATTAGTTACTGGTGGATAGGCTAGCTTCATGATGTGTTTGTTATTTCTAATCAGCTGTACAGGATAGAGAACATAAATTCTTAACAATCGCAGTCCAAGAAGCACATAAAGGGGCAGAGTGTGGGCATGGCAGACCATTTGGTGCAGTAGTTGTTCGCAATGATGAAATTGTTATCAGCTGTCACAACATGGTTTTAGCACGCACTGACCCTACTGCACATGCAGAGGTCACAGCAATTAGAGAGGTTAGATATAATTTCTCTGAGATTTATCTGTTTGTGTAATTATAGCATGTGCATTTTGTAGGAGCTCTCTTTGGGTTTAGTTTACACTTGGATGTAATTTGTCAACATTTTCTTGCATGATTTCATATATTTTTGTTTGATGCAGACATAAATGATGTGTAGCACCTGTATCTCTTCCATGCAGTCTGGCGCTGCACTAGTTGTGGTGCTGCATTTAGTGGTCTTGCAACTGAACTGGCTGGAAGTATTTTCTTGTCAGTATGTGATAGAAGAAACTTATGGATTACACATTCCCAATACATGTTCCCAATAACAATAACCATAAAACATGTGGAAGACAGCATTCTGCTTGTTCCCAATAACAATAACCATACACTAGTTGTGGTGCTGCATTTAGTGGTCTTGCAACTGAACTGGCTGGAAGTATTTTCTTGTCAGTATGTGATAGAAGAAACTTATTGATTACACGTTCCCAATACATGTTCCCAATAACAATAACCATAAAACATGTGGAAGACAACATTCTGCTTGTTGTGTTGGTGGTAATGGAAATTTGTTCAGACTTGGACCCTAAGTTTACTTTTCCTTCATTCTTTGTTGATTGAAAAAAAATATAATGTGCTTGGTTGGTGGTATTGAAGTTAATTTCTCAGTGCCAAGGACTGCTAAGTTGTGTCTTCTGATGTCTCTTGTCATCACCACCACCACCACCACCATCATCATCATCATTATCATCTTCTTCCCTGACATTTTTGGATCTTTGCTTACAACAGGCCATGTGCTTTTACTGGATAGACTTAATTACTATTTTGAATTCTAGTCAGTGCTTGCAATGCAGCAAACGTGAATAATTGGTTGGAAATATGTGAAATTTTTTTTTTTCCAAAGATGAATATGCATGTTAGAAAGTCACAGGCAAACAATCAACTGTCCTCATACAAAAATAGGCACCCTACTTTGAGTTATCCATCAATGTAATGATGGCCATGCAATACAATCTGTATTCCCAACCTGTAGTTGAAATAGAAATATAAGTAGTAGTCTGATGGTCAGCAAGTCAATTTGTGCCAATTTATATATAGATGTATGAAAGTGATTAGACCGAAGTGTATCAAGTCAACAACCCCTCCTTTTTAACGAGAAGCAAAATTTTGAAGTGAGCATGTTGCAGATGTCCTTTTCTTGTAGAAAGCTGTATCATACTAGGAGCTGATAATTGTTTTCTTACCCTGGATGATTGATATTTTTTTAAACATGTATAAGTTGCTTTTTTCTTTGTTGGACGATTGTAAAGAGTTCAGTCATTTAGGGTGTCAAGTTTCTTATACATTCTTTCCAAATATAAGATGATCTGCAATCCTAGAAATTGCATGCAAAGATTGCCCATGGAACATGAGCGTGTGAGACATAAGTTGGTAAAAACTTTGCAAGTGGCAGATTCTGTAAATACTGTCTAAGGACTATGGATACATAATCTGATGACAAGCTTACTGTTCGTTGTTGGTTAGAGCTTTAGGTTCTAAATAGAGACAAAGGTAGTGTTCCCTACCACCTTCAGCAGGGAGGTCGGATTCAAACTTTATCTCAAACTTCACCAAAGTAGAAGTTTTAAAAGAAAAGTCAGGCCATAAAGTCAAAACTGCCTATAAAGCTGAAGTAAGTGCAGAACCTATTGAAGACTTCAGATTTGATCCAAGATGATTAGAAGTATGGGGCAAGGAAGTGTACTGACACATCTATTACCTATTTCTTTTATGATTTAGGTATAGGAGAGGTCAATCTGATAACACATGGTCAATTTACTCTCACTTGTTTCCTCTGAAAAGTAGGATAGGCCTGACCCATCAGAAACAGGTCATAACTGAGAAGCATCGGGAGCATCTGGGAAAATGATTTTAAACCAAGAAATGTTGGATAGTGACTTATATCAATGTCTGCATAAAATTTGGTCTTAACCTTCTTTTACCAGAAAGATTTTAGTTCCCTGCCTAACATTTTTCGTCAGTGGATCCCAAACAATAACAATGAATCTTGAAGATTGAGATCTGTAAAGAGCTATTAATTTTTGAAATTTAGAATGCTTTCTGACCATTGTCTCAGATCCCATATCTTATTGATTTCTGAATGTTAAGCATCTGGTCTTGTCATTTAGCAGAGTTCTTAAAAATGCTATCGAGTCAATGATGACAGCTTGGAAACTGGAGTAAAGTGTTAAAATATTAACCATACTCGAGCTCAGGCAGCTCGGATGAATGTAACCATTTATGTTTGACAATCTCAAATTTAAATTATAGGGATGCAGAGATAGGATGATCTTTAAGCTAGGATGATCTATGGAAATATTCATTTGCAATTCAGTGATTTTGCTTATATTTTCTTCATTTGGCTGTGGAAAATAGAAATGTCATGGTGATAATTTGCTCTTGCTGATGATGCAAAAGGACATGACTGGTGCTTAGATAAACATCTTTTCAGTAGATAAACATCTTTTCAATAGCAAACATAGAATCATCGAACTTCTGATTGAAGTCTTTGTTATGTTATTATATTTGGCGGACAATTTTTTCGTTGAAGGTGGTCCATTGCTGTCTTTTCTCCATCAACTATGGAATCCCTTGTCCTTTTTCTGTTTCTTTAGCTTTAGAGGGTGGAGGGGGGATGGCCTGTGTACTTAGCATGCAACTTTTCAAAATCAACATACTGCTTATCAAACGTGAATTGTTGGAGTGTTTTAGTCTTTTAGATTCAGCTTTGGCCACGTTCTGAGCGGTACATTCTGACTGCAATCCTACATTTTACACAAATATGCAATTTTGCCTATTTACTTTCAGATTTCAGTGATTGAGTTTAATCTAGAGCAGTCTTTTTACTTATTTGTAAGCACGTTTTGCATGCCATGCACATAATATGTGCTTGCAATTACTTCTGCTTCTTTGCAATGGAATATGGGAGGAGTGTACCAGCTGAGGATTAGATACTGCAGTTAGATTGATTCTTCGTGATTTCGTTTTATGTTAATTTCGAATTTGATTTTTCATGTTTTTCTTTTTATGTCGTATTTCTTCTTTGAATTGGTGGAGTTCCATGGCTGCAATGGTATTTATGCCTCTTAAAGTTGCTGCTTTGTCATTCTCATGTTGGATACTACTTGTTCAGGCATGCAAAAAGCTCAACAAAATTGAGCTCTCAGATTGTGAAATGTATGCTTCTTGTGAGCCTTGCCCCATGTGCTTTGGTGCAATCTACCTTTCCAAAATTAAGGTTCTTTGCTTTTCTCTTTTCATGTCATCTTGCCTGGTAGGTTCATGATTTACATTTAGGCTCTTTTATTCTAATTCTTGTGTTTTGAAACACTTTATGCAGAGACTGGTTTATGGTGCCAAAGCTGAAGCTGCCATTGCCATTGGATATAATGCTTTTATTGCCGATGCCCTAAGAGGTACTGGTTTTTACCAAAAGGGTCATTTGGAGATCAAGAGAGCAGATGGTAATGCATCCCATATTGCGGAGCAAGTCTTTGAGAAATCAAAGGCCAAATTTCATATCCACTGAGGAAAATGTTGAAATCTGTGATTGCTGATATGGATGCTTTGGAACGATTCACATTTGCTCATAAAGTAGCTTCTAGCATCCATATTGTTTCATTGATCTCTACATTGTTGAACATGTCAATGTGAGTTGCGATTCCCTCGTCATTTCCTTAACAAGCATTTATATTTATATTTGTTTCTTTCTCAAGTTTGAGAGTCCCAGTTCAATGATCATATGTTAAATTGCGAAAGGTGGAGATATTTTCGATGAATGTCCTTCACTCCTGTGTTCAGCTGGAAAATTTAGATTGGTATCCCAGAAAGATTGGTGTGCATGTGCTCAATTTCCTTCAAGGATTTCAGTTTGCATGATGAGATATGAGATTCAGTCTTGAAGCTTCAGGAGATGACAGTTCTGGAAAACACATAGAAATATAGCAACAATTTCCCATTGTACCATTGTACTTCATCTTCTTGACTCCTCGAAGTTTACACACAAACAAGCGAAGGTAGTTTTACTCGTAGGTTGTCTTTAAATTGTAGTAAGTGGAACGGATGATAAAAAAACGTTGACTGAAACATCCAATAGTGATGGAAAATTTTATGTCAACTCGGATCAACTACTAAGCATGTATAGTAGTTATTTCTGAACTAACGAAAGAGTTTCATGCGAACGTATAAGGATTTCACTTGATTTAATTTCATTTACACGTTAAAAAAATCACTAAATATATGGATTAACAAGTGAAACTTTTATATGTCCACGTGGAGTTTTTCTATTGGTCCTAAACCAACTACTAGGTATACTTAATAGTTGCTCCTAACTGATATAAAACTTCTCCAAATCAAGCATAAATTTGGGCAGAAAATCAAGTTGGATCAGGAAAAAATAATCTTTGAACCAGGAGCAAAATAGGAATAGGTAGTTTCACGAACTGTAGTTTATTTGATGCTAATTCTTTGGGAAATCAGTACTTTGACAAGGAACAGTGACATCTCTAACGAAACCAATCAGTACATATTATTAGCCGCCAAAGGTATTTGAAGCTAGCGAAGACAGAAATGAGTTACATTCGAAGCTTCTTAGGATCATATCGCAGAGGGGCATCTGAAGGAATCAGTTAATTCACTCTTGAGATGCCATAGGAATAAATGCAGTTTGATAAAAGCTGCCTCGTCATTACCCCTAGCTTCAACTTGGTGGACCTTATACAGCAGTCAGAACAAACCAACATAATTCAACCCAAAAAAAAAAGGTAAACAGAGAGTGGAAAAAAAAAACAAATTATGTGTACTCTTTGATAAACCAACACAGCCCGGATGGAAAAACTAATGAACCTTTTTGTTGGACAGTTTTCATCGCCATAAAGGTCCTCAATACCATGATTCTTAAAGACTGAAATTAATGACTTCTTCCTCTAATCAAAACATAGAGACCATCCATAGCAAATTGAATTAGATGCTTTAATATATTGACACTGGGCAGGTATTCAGTAAAATCAGGATACTGGCAACGCCAAACAGAAAGGACTTCCATATGCAAGACTTCAAGATAACAATGGATGGTGGAAGATCAATAATCCTCTCCAGACACAATCGCCAAGAATAATCAACCTTATCTCATTTCTTTAAGGTTCAGAGTCCTTGGAACAGAAAACTGCACGGATGCATACGCATTTTTCTTTACACTTAATGTTTCTCTGACATGTTTTAAGGGCAGCAGAGAGAGGAGAGAGGTGTTTCTTTGTTGGCAGCACTCACTACTAAAGTAAAACTTTGCATCTTCCAAACATGATTCTCCAACAATCCTCAAATAAATTAAACTCTGCATGTTTCAAACATGATTCTCCAAGAATCTGCCTGACTAAAGTTATCGTGAAAACATTGCTTGAGCTCCAACACAGATGATTTTGCCAGGGAAAATCCAGAAGACGTATGATTACTAATTGGTCCAAGCAGATAAGCTGTTCCAAAATAAAGTATTTCTTGCTCGCTCGATCGATTAACGAGCAGAACAACAAGAAGAATAAACATCAATCCAGCAAAAAAAAAAAAAAATCAAATGAGAAAGGTAAGTATAGATATCAAATAACAAGTTACCTAAGATTGCCCATTCTCATGTACATGTCAACTAACTATCTGCACAAATATTAGGAGTCTAAACAAGCCATCAGGGCTGCATATATAGGACTCATTATTCCACAATGTAAGTTAAAATCCTAAACTATTAATCAATTACCAGAAGAAAATTTATCAACTAAGCTCATATACTGGATAATGGAAAAAGCACCAAGCACTTACTACTCCTCGAATCCAAGTCAAGACCTGCCTACTCATCAACCCTCCAGCAATTCCTAACTATCAACTTCCCATTGATCTTAGCTCCTCCAGCTGCGCCTTTATTTGATCCTGCACCAATTCTAACCTCTTCGAATACACCTCCAACTCCAAAATCTGTTGCTTCCTCCACTTCTCATCCGCCACCAAATCCCCATTTAACCCTAATGGCATTGGACTCAATGCAAAGCCAAATCCTCGTGAACCACCCATCATTGGCCCATTCAAACTCATCACACTGTTCAACAATTCCTTAAATATCGGTGATAAACAGCTCCTCACTGTCTCCTCAATCAAATTCGTGGCCTGCCCCGACCCTGCTGAACCAGCTGCAGCCGTCACCGGCCCAATTTGCGTTGCTGTAGGCGTAACCACGCCCACATTCTGCATATTTTGCACATTCTGCACGCTTTGCTGCTGGTTTGAATTTTGCAAAGTTGGAACACTAGTATACCCAAATGGTTTCTCCTCAATTTTCACCCCACCTACACCGCGTGATCTTTTCCTAGACCGCGGAGGTTTCTTCTCTAAATGATCAATTCCATTAGGGTTAAGGTTAAAATTAGGGTTAGGGCTTTGATCAATAAAATTAACACTAAAATTAGGGTTACCGTCATCATCATCAAATCCACCTTCTTCCATCACAACACCGCTGCGGACGGAAGCACCAACGCCACTGCCGCCCCAAATTTTACGAGAAATTTCAAAAGTAGCCTGATCATGAGGGCTTTTGAAGACATACTCCTTACCGGAGCTCATCTTGTTCATCACGTTCCGGTATTTTTTCTTCAACCTTCGGAGTTTTTCGACCAATTGGTTCTTGTTGAAGTCCAGCTGCAATTTACTCTTGATCTGATCATAAAACGCCGTCGTATCATGATGGTGAGACGAGTTGATCACGCCTCTCGAGGTCGTATACTCCAAAAACCCCTGTAAAAGTTCGATCTCGTCCTCGTCGGTCCAGAGCCGTTGAAACAGCCGCCTCGACTCATCGTTCGGAACCGGCTTCTTCTCCTCCACGACGGCCCTGGCCACGGCAGAGACCGAGGCGACCGTCACTTCATCGATTCGCTGTCGTTCAGCGTCCGGACGGAGAGACTGATCGGTTGGGAGAGCGACGGTAACATCTCCCGGGGAAAGAGAGGGAGGCGGAGGCAGGTGGATGTGGTGGTGGTGGTGGTGGTTAAGGAGAGAGGAGGGATCATGGTGGTGGTGGTCGGCAGCGGCGAGATTGGAAGAAGAGGTGGAGTCGTCGACGTCATCATCCTCGTCTACGTCCACGTCGACATCCACGTCATCATCTTCGTCGTCCACAACGACGTCGTTCTCAGGAGGGTTAATATCATTGGTATTATTACCCGGGTTATGAATTAAACCTCCGATTCCTTCTTCGTCTTCTTCGTCGTCGTCAAGGTCTTCCGGGTTGTAAACGTTACGGTCTTCTTGAGAGGCGGCCATCGGATTTTTGAGGAGGAGGAGGAATCAAAATGGACTTAATTTTGCTGGGATTTATTTCCTAAAAGGGGGAAGGGGCAGCTGACCTAGACTTCTGGTGGTGGTGGTGGCGGTGGTGGAGGGTGCGGGAGGTGGTGGTGGAGTCGTGTGGGAAAAGGTTTGCCTGGGAAGGGGTTGAACGGTTCCGTTTTACCATATGGGACTTTGGAGGGATGTATTGCACGTGACTTGGTGGCGTCATCAATTTATCACACTCATACTCACGTGCTGCTTAGTTTTTGAAATATTCAAGCCTCCGTTGTTCGACAGCCTAAAAAGGGTAAAATCTAACGATTTATAAGATCTATCTACACTCGTTAAAATGGAGCTCGGGCGTTGATATTAGTTTTAGGTAGGGAAAAAATATATAAATGGAAGATAGAGTAATAATCGTACATTAACATTGTACATTATGTGTATTCACATTGAATAAGAGGGACTTTGATGACGAATCTCACTGAATGACTTTTTTTTTTTTAGTTAAACTTTAACAATTATCTTAAAAAAGATGCTTAATACAGGCGACAAATTTCAATTTCAATCTCCAATAATATAAATTTAATTGCGAAACATTAATGACACTACTAGCTCAAGCCAATTCTGTGAAGTGATTAATGACTCGCCAACTCAAAGAGCATCTCTTTGGTTGAGATTTTGGATAAAAAATAGAGGAATATAAAAAAGTTGGCAAAATAATTGTTAATGTACAGATGTAGCATTTATTCAAGCATGACAGTATATACACTGTTACTGTATAAAGAGATTGAAGTAATAATTATTAATGCGCTTATGTGGCATTAATTCAAGCATGACAGAGTGTACACATTATCATTGTATAAAAAATTAATCTCACACACACACACACACACATATATATGGATTAATCTTCTATTTACTAATAGTGTATACACTTTCATCATTAGATGCATAATACATAATCCAAATTTGAATTTGAAATCCAAATTCTGCATATGTATCGTGCATCCAATCGTGATAGTGTATACACTGTCAGTGCATATATGATATTCAATTTCAATTTTAGTAGGTTACTAAGCTGGGTATTCCTATATTCTACCAAGACATGTTATCTTCATGCCACGTAACAAATTAAAATTGTACGAAACAACGTGTTTATATTTTTGTGGATTTTATTCTTTTTCTAAGTAACAATTAATTATGTCTTTTTTACATTTCCTTATTTACCTTCAATTTCATCCAATCTATTGATGACCTACCTTATATGAGTTTGTATTAATTGTATGTTCTTTATTTTTTTTGTTAATCAACTCATATATTTCCTTTTAATCCTCTTCAATCACATTTTCTATTCTTCTTATTAGCTTGATTATTTATTATCATTACTAAAATTTGGACAAAATATGCTATATAGTTTTTCCCATTTGTACGTTACTAAATTGGTTATGCCAATTAAAAAGAAAGTTTGCTATTTTAGTTTTTTGCCGAGTGTAAGTTCTATCGTTTCGCCACGTAGAAAAATATTGTATTTGCTTATACCTTTTCATGGATTTTATTCTTTTTTGGTAACAATTAATTATAGTCCTTTATTACTTTCTTATTTATAGTAAATTTCAAAAAATCGATTAATTACATACTTTATATATATTTGTATAATTTATGCCTTTTTTTTGTTAATAGCTTTCCTTTTTTAATTCTTTACAATCACATTCTCTATTCCTATTATTGAATTGATCATTTATTATCATTAATGAAATTTGGATGAACTTTCATTTTTTTATCATTCAAATACTTCCTTATTTATAGTAAACTTAAATCTA